CTTCGTCGAATGCGTCGTGCACTTCACTCGGCAGCTCATGCTTCTATTTTTCTACCGGGAGATTTCAACGTTCTGTCTCGCGGTGAGGGGCGTCGCCGCCGCGACGGCCGGGTGATCTTGAGCGGTCTATCGTCCGCCAAGGAGGTCGAGCGTCTCTTCTCTAACTAATTGCGCCCAGGTAGACCAGGCCTCGCTCACTCGCCTAGTAGAAGGCGGGAGAGAAGAACGTAAGCATGTGGAGTCGCTTCCCCGTCTTGGTCGGATCTACACCAGCATGCCTCCTGGGGGCCTTCGATTTGCATCCCGCTGCTCGGGCCTGGGGGGGTCCTGCTGACACGAAGGATGTCTCGGATCATGCGCCTGTAGTTCTGTCTCTCCAGCCATCTGCAGGAGGGCGCAAGCGCATCCAATCATGGATCACCAAGGACCCAAGGTCCCCTGAGGTCGTCGAGGAGGTTCTTGAGGGCGCGGGCGAGCTCCCCCATGACCCCGACGAGGCCGCTGCCGAAGTCAATGATTGTATTCGGGAAGATGCGTACAAACTCAAAGCTGAGCTGGAAGCATTGGGGGGGTGCTCTGAAGCTGGGGAAGTATCTCGGGCACATGCGGCCCTCGAGGCCTCTCGGCGTGGGAGCGCCGTTAGTCTTTGCAGGGCTCTGCGGGCCATTCCTGATCTGCGGGTGCATTTGGACCGGCGAGGGCGCTGGCGCGCGCGCCGCGCCGAGTTTCATTCGCTTCTTGGAGGTCATCAGAATGATTTCCTGGGCGCCGAGATCGAGGACGTTCGGGGCGACGCATCTAGGTCCAACGGCGAAGCAAGCTTAACTCCCTTTACGCGCGCAAGAGTGTCTGGCGGGCACGGCACCGCAAACGCGGGCCAGGTTCTATCGCGGATCCGTCTGGCACTGCGATCGTCGACGCCGACAAGCGCGACCGCGAGCTTGCTTGGCATTGGGGAGAGTTGCACCCTTCTGCGAGAAGTTGTGACGACGCCTCGAGATGAGCCGCATGTTGAACCCGTTCCGCCTGACATGAGACCTTCGATTGCGATCAGCCTCAAAACCTCCTGGGGCGAATGCCGGACACTGCGCCCGGGCCAAATGGCACTCCGTTTTCAGACCGGTTAAGAGGTTGTCCTGTAGCAGCTACTTCTTCACTCGCTCTACTTCAACATCCCCCAGGTTGGCTCGCCCCCTCTGATTTCGACAGCGCCATTGCCGCGCCCCCCGCGAAGGGCGATGATCCCGACGACTCGCTGTTCATAGCGCGGCCGCCAGAGAAGACATGGCCGTTTTCTCTGTCCAGTACTGATAACAAAAGAATCTCGTCTTCGCTCAACTTCCAGCGTCGTCTGCGCGCATGCGCACCGCGCGTGGGCAGCGGTGCGGTTTCGTTCGGGGGCGACGGATGTCGGGGAGCATCCTGGACATCGAACCCAAGTGTCTTCACTGGTTGGCCCAGCAAGATATGCAGCGCAGTGGGTGCATCTTTTATGACGTGAAGAGCGCCATCCCCAGCCTCCGGGGTTTCCGTCGTGCTTCCTGCGCGCCTTGAGAGCCATGTGCAGTCGCGCCTTCGCGTCGGCCGCATTCAGACGCAATTTGAAACACGGGTTCCTGCTTAGTCGTGGCATCAAGCAAGGTTGTCCGATGCATGGGTTACTGTTTGCCCTCGTCTACGACCCCACCCATAGGATGCCCTGTGCAAGATTACCGCGCCCCCTTCATGAGCTCGGAGCCTCTGCTGATGATTGCGAGCTGGCAAGCAGCAGCCTCCCCTGCGTGCTTCAGATCGCGAACAAAAACATGGGCGCTCGCTGGGGCTGGGTTCGGGCTTCATCTTAACATTAAGAAAGCGGTCATTTCCCTCATCAGAAAAATTCCTGAGGTTGAATGTCGAGCCGACGTCGAGCACCCCTGTCGTTCGAAGCGAGTTCAGATCGTCATTTTCGCGAGGCAGCTGGGCGGGATGCTTGGGATTGATTGCCAGGCGTAGAGCTGGGAGCTCCCGACAAGGAAGTACGCGGAAATGTCTCATGGAGTCCAAGGGTTAGACCTGGGTTTGATCAGATTTATCAGTGATTATAATATGCTGTGTGTCGTTGTCTTGGGCTTCGTGGGCCAGTTCATTCCTCCCTCGGTTCAGCTGCTGAAGACCGAACGCGAAATGATCCAGGTGAATCTCCGAGGGCCATGTAATGCTATCCCCTCTGACACCGTCCAGAACCTCATCAAGTATTTGGGGCTCCTTGCGGAGGCCGCTCAGATTAGGATCCGGAGTCAGGCTGCAAGGTTCAGCGTTGCTGAGCGGACGTCTGCCTTCTTCGACGCTGAGAGCTTGTTGATGAGTTTCGGGGGCACCGACGAGTGCTGCTGCATGATCTGGCGGGGTTCTCATAGTTGACGTATCAGAAATGGTGTTTTGGAACGATTCAGGGCTGTCAGGGCGCAACAGTTATTCATATTCGCGGCGTCGACGTCCCAGGAATGGCGTTTTGGCGCGATTCAGGATCGTCAAGACGCAACAATCAGGTTGACTCGTGGCGTTGAAGTCCTGAGAGTGGTGTTTTGGGTTACTTCAGAATTTGCACACTGTTGTCCCCCAGCGGGGCACGTCCCTCAGCGGACATGAATCTTTGTGTGGGGCCATTGAAGAGGGAGCTTGGGGCGAGTGTGCTTTACAACATCGTTGATGAATATTGGGTTCGCACTGGTCCTCCTCCTCTTCCTCCTCCTCCCTCTTCATCGATCGGTTGGCCACACCAAGTTGGCCAGACAGACACATTATCTCAAGTGATTGTGAGGACCAGCGCGCAGCGCATCATCGAATCCAATAAGATATCCTCCTCCTCCTCCTCCCACCACCAGCCCGTGGGCTTGCAGGCTAGACAGACTCCAGTTCTACGGTTGTCTCGTCCTCCTCCTCCTCCTCCTCCTCCTCCTCCTCTTCCTCCTCCTCCTCCTCCTCCTCCTCCTCCTCCACCCACCGCGGGCCCGTGGCTAGCAGGCTGGACAGACTCCGCTTCGACGGTTGTCTCCTCCTGCGCCCCCTCCTCTCCTCCGTTCTCCTCCGTCCTCCCCTCTCCCAGACCTCTGACGGTGTGATGTCGTCAGTCCCTGCGTGGTTCCCAGACCTCTGACGGTGTGATGTCGTCAGTCCTGCGCCCCCTCCTCTCCTCCGTTCTCCTCCGTCCTCCCCTCTCCCAGACCTCTGACGGTGTGTTCCCCGACCCCCGGCCCTTGGGGCCCGCGACCATATCAGGAGCGGTCCGGGACGCGAGGCTACCCCCGAGGATGCGGTCGGGACCGTTGGGGCCGCGCATTGCAGAAGCGCGTCGTCGGACGCATGGGCCCAAATCTGAAGCTTTGATGTTACGAGTAGCAGTGCTGATTCGAGACAGCACTGGTCGCAGCAGTAGGTATGCTATTCCTCCTCCGTCTCCTCTCCCCCCCTCCCCTCCACGAGGAGCGAGGGGGGGGGGAAGAGGAGGGCTGAGGAGGAGGCCGAGGCGCTTCAACGTTTTCCCGAGTCTAGGAGTGTCACTCCCCCCCAAGAAGGAGGAGGATGAGGAGCGTTGAGCAGGAGCGGGACGAGTTGCTTCGAATATGGAGTCTCGGGGGCTTCTAACCTAGACCGGGAGGGTCTAGGAGGCTAATTACGCCTCCTCTTGTCCTGCTCCTCGTCGTCCTCATCCTCCTTCCGCATCCTTCCCCTTCTCCACCTCCTCCTCCTCCTCCTCCTCCTCCACCTCCTCATCGTCATCGTCATCATCATCACCACCACCACCATAACCATCATCATCAGCAGCAGCATCATCATCAGCATCATCATCATCATTATCAGCACCACCACAATCCTTATCATCACCACCATCATGTTTCTCATCGTCATCACCACCAACATCATCCTCATTACCATCACCATCATACGCATCAGCATCATCATCATCATCATCATCAGCAGCAGCAGCAGCAGCACCATCATCGCCATAAGCATCAGCATCACCATCATCATTATCATCCTCAGCATCATCATCGTCAACATAATCGTCATCGTCATCATCATCAGCACCATCGGGACCATCATACTCATCATTATCATCATCCTCATACTCATCATAACCCTCATCATCATCATCATCAGCATCAGCATCAGCATCAGCATCCACATCAGCAGCCTTATCACCATCATCAAAGATCAGCAACATCATCATCGTCATCATGAGCATCACCATCATCATTATCAATACCACCACCATCCTCAGCATCGTCATCACCATCATCCTCCTCATCGTCATCACCACCGACATCATCATCATCAGCAGCATCATCATCAGCATCATCATGACCATCACCATCAGATGCATCATCACCATCATCGTCATCATCAGCATGACACTCATCATTAGCATCATCAGCATCATCATCGTCATCATAATCGTCATCGTCATCATCATCAACACCATCAGATTCATCATTGTCTCAATCCTCAGCCTCATCCTCATCATAATCAGCATCATCATCAGCAGCATCTGCATCCACAGCAGCAGCCTCATCGCAATCATCAGCATCAGCAGCATCATCATCGTCATCATTATCATCACCATCATCATCATCCTCATCATTATCATCATCATCATCATCCTCATCATTATCATCATCATCATCATCATCATCATCATCATCATCATCATCATCATCATCAGCATCATCATCATCATCATCATCATCATCATCAGCCTCACCGTCATCATCCGCTACTCCTCCTCCTCCTCCTCCTCCTCCTCCTCCTCCTCCTCCATCTACTCCTTCAACCCCTCCCCCATCATCTCACTTGCCCTCCTCCCAATTCGCCTTCGGCCGCCTCTGGGCACGAGACGGGCCAGATTGGGCGCCCGCATTTATTCACGTGCGCTGCCGCGCCTTTGTATCTGCCGCAGCGCCGCGTGAGTCCGGGGGGGGGGGCAGGGGGGGGGCGGGTTAACAACGGACCGTCCTGGCATGCTGAACTTCAGTCTCGACCATCTTTCCTCGGCCGGATGGCCAGAGAATCTTGAAAACTTGGAGGTGCAGTGCAGGTGCATTTTCGTCGGCCTCGATGCGGGGGCGGACCCGACGCACACACCGCTGTCTCCTCCGCGGCTCGCCGAATGCCTGGCCGAGCGGTGGCCGCCGCCTGGGCGCGGCAGCGCCGAGGGCCCCTCCCGAGGTCCAGCCTGCTCCGCCTCTCGAGGTGGATCCAGCCTGGGCGGCGAGAAACATCCAGGGCTTAGAGTGCCCTGGAAACCACAGGACCGCGCCTCGCGCCGTTTTTACCTAACAGCTTTTGCTGATAGGTTTCTAGTGGGATCAAAAGAGAGCATCTTGACGCCCCAAGGGGGTCTGGGCGGGATCCGGACAAGGAACCGGACAAAAGTGCAGCCCCAGGAATCCTCAGGAATCTTTCGGAATTCTTAGGAATCTTTAGGAATCCATTCCCAGAACACCATTCCCAGGCCACATTTTGAATGCCCGGAGCCAACTGTAGGCCACATCGTGTTCTTCGTGTTCCCAGAATGCCATTCCCAGGCCACATTTTGAATGCCCGGAGCCATTTGTAAGCATTTTCGTGTTCTTCGTGTTCCCAGAGCACCACTCCCATGCCACAGTTTGAATGCCCGGAGCCAACTGTAGTCCACTTCGTGTTCTTGGTCTTCCCAGAACACCATCCGGAGCCAACGGTAGGCCACATCGTGTTCTTCGTTTTACCAGAACACCATTCCCAGGCCACCTTTTGAATGCCCAGAGCCAACTGTAGGCCACTTCGTGTTCTTCGTGTTCCCGGAACACAGCTCCTATACCATATTTTGATTGCCCGGAGCCAACTGTGGGCCACTTTGTGATCTTCGTGTTCCCAGAACACAAGTCCCGTGCCATATTTTGAATGCCCGAGCTGAGGCAGGCTGAGGCCGAGGCAGGCTGAGGCCGAGGCAGGCTGAGGCCGAGGCAGGCTGAGGCTGAGGCTGAGGCTGAGGCTGAGGCAGGCTGAGGCTGAGGCTGAGGCCAGGCTGAGGCTGAGGCAGGCTGAGGCAGGCTGAGGCTGAGGCTGAGGCTGAGGCTGAAGGCTGAGGCTGAGGCTGAGGCTGAGGCTGAGGCTGAGGCTGAGGCTGCAGGCTGAGGCTGAGGCTGAGGCTGAGGCTGAGGCTGAGGCTGAGGCTGCAGGCTGAGGCTGAGGCTGCAGGCTGAGGCTGAGGCTGAGGCTGAGGCTGAGGCTGAGGCTGAGAAGCTGAGGCTGAGGCTGAGGCTGAGGCTGTGGCTGAGGCTGAGGCTGAGGCAAGCTGCGGCTGAGGCAGGCTGAGGCTGAGGCTGAGGCAGGCTGAGGCTGAGGCAGGCTGAGGCTGAGGCTGAGGCAGGCTGAGGCTGAGGCTGAGGCCGAGGCAGGCTGAGGCTGAGGCCGAGGCAAGCCGAGGCAGGCTGAGGCTGACGCTGAGGCTGATGCTGAGGCAGGCTGAGGCTGAGGCAGGCTGAGGCTGAGGCTGAGGCTGAGGCAGGCTGAGGCTGAGGCAGGCTGAGGCTGAGGCCGAGGCAGGCGAATCCTTCGGAATCCTTGGGATTCCCTAGGAATCCTCAGGAATCCCTAGGAATCAGGATTCCCAAGGATTCCTAAGGTTTCCTAAGGATCCCTATGGATTCCTAAGGATGCCTAAGGATGCCTTAGGAATCACTAGGAATCCTTAGGATTCCATTGGATCTTAAGGCCGTTGCCACTGCGACTGTCATTGCGAATGCGACTGCGACTGCGAGAACAGCAGAATTCTACAACTGAAATCTCACCTGAATCTTAAGGGGAATGCTTCCAGATATGCTTATACACATCGCTGTTAGGTTGCTTTGCCGGGAGAATTGTTGACGTTTCCAGCGACGCTGTTTCACATTGATGGGGGCCTGGTCTTAAGTCGGGCATGTCCCTCTACAGGAGGAATCTCCGAAAATAGTCCAAAAATAGTCTGGAGACGATTCTTCTATTGTTTTTGACTATTTTTGGTTACCTTTGGCTATGTTTTAATTTTCTCTAGACATCCCCCTGTAGGAGGACATGCCCGACCTAAGCCTGGTCCAGATCACAGTTCTGTTTGACTCGCTCCGAGTCGTTTTTAATCGAGCCAGTCCCGAACGTCCTCCGGCTCCCCGAATGTTGCTCGGGCCGAATCGGCGGCCCGTTTTGTTTTTAATCGTTGCGGTGGGCCAGTTGTCTTGCCGTCTTTATGTGGTAGCGCTCGGGCGTGAGCAGTTTTCTCGGCGAAGTCAGCGCCAGAATCGACTGGACCATCCTGGGGCATCTCGTACCATCATGAGACACGCACGAGCCCAAACTAATGCACGGGGAATGGACGACCGAGCGATGGCACGTTCAGCATCCAGAGAAAGAGAGAGAGAGAGGTTGTGTATGTGTGTATGTGTGTATGTGTGTATGTGTGTGTGTGTGTGTGTGTGTGTGTGTGTGTGTGTGTCTGTGTCTGTG